CAATTTTATGTCCTCATTTGTCACAAAAACGCGCACACACACTCTCACACACACACTCACACACACGCACGCACACACACACACGCATGCACGCACGCACGCACACACACACACACCTCTCTCATGTAAAACTCTATAACTGTGATGTTACGCTGGGACAGTGATGGTGAGCATGGTGTAGTTCTGAATCTTACGGTGATATCTGCATGTCAGAGTTGAGTATGAGAGACTCGTCCATCTGATACAGATCACTGGTTCACTCTCTGTGCAGTGAGAAACTTGAAAACGAGTGATTGTGTGTCTGTCTGCAGGCTGTGCAGTCTGACCTTGAAGAGGCTGATCGTGTTGAAGGAGCTGGATAAGGATTTGAACTCGGTGCTCATCGCTGTGAAGATTCAGGTGAGACTTCTGAGATCATCACATCTTCACCGCTGGAGCTTCAGAAACAGCTCAATATAAACCATTCAAAGGACTCAAATGAAAACCGTTTAAATGTTTATCCAAGACAAACCTTCTGCCTTTGGAGATATGAACCTCTGATACTTCTGTTATTATAAAATTCAATAAAATCATATGTGTTGTGTCAGTTTAATGTTGTGTATCTCTATGTTACTGTTATCTTTTAGACCTTTAATGAACATTATGTTATTTGTTAATATAACTAAATTCAATTAATTTTTAGACAACCATAGTGGAATATGTTTAGTGCGGTGACATGTATATACATTTATACACTACTGTTCAAAAGTTTGGGATCAGTAAGATTTTTAATGTGTTTTAAAAAAGGCTCTTCTGCTCATCAAGCCTGCATTTATTCGATCCGAAAATACAGAAAAAAACTGTAATATTGGAGGTGGTTACTCGCGCTGTGGCTAAGTTGAACACTGATTGGCTCGCCAAGAAACAGGCTGAACCGCAGAAAAGCAAACTTGATGAACGCTTTCTGCGGACTAGGCCGCCACCTCCACGCCAGAGCCTGCCTTTCTTCCCCGACCTCCACACCGAGGTCTCGAGGTCATGGGGTGGACCATTCTCGGCCCACCTCTTCATCCCTGCTTCCGGTTATTACACCAACGTGGCGGGGTTGAGTGAGCGTGGCTACAGGGCGATGCCCCAGGTTGAGCAGACGCTTGCGAGCTATCTGTCTCCTGGCGCGGCACTGTCCTTGAAGGCTCCGGCATTGCCCTCCAAGCCGCTGCGTACCACGTCAGCGCTGGTGGGCAAGGGGTCAGGCTGGTGCGTGTCTGCACACGATAGCTGTGTTACAGGCGTACCAAGCCAACCTGATGAAAGAGCTGGATGAGGGCAAGGAGGTTAAGTCTGAGGATATCACCGAGCTCAGACGAACCGCTGATCTGTCTCTCCGTGCCACCAAAGAGAAGCCCGCACCATTGGCCGGTCTATGTCAGCATTGGTGGCGGTAGAGAGGCATTTGTGGTTGACCCTGTCTGATATGAAGGAGAAGGACAGGGTCTTCCTCTTGGATGCCCCGCTTGTGCCTTCTGGCCTGTTCGGCGACGCCGTCAATAGGTACCAGGAGGCTCGTAAACAAGCGGCAGCATTTCAGCGGTTCCTCCCTCACCGCTCTATAGCTCTAGGGGCTGCTAGGCGGGAGCAACCCCCTCCGTGTACCAGCTCCTCATACCGGGAGGCTCAAAAACAGAGCGTCGCCTCCCGTACTCTGGGTCGGGGACTTCCAAGTCTAAGCCGGATCTGCGGACCGTCCTTCAGGCTAAGAAGTCCTCGACCAAGAAGTCCTGACACTTGTAGGTCAGGACTTCTGAGGGCAGGCCCCTCTGGGGATGAGCGGTGTACACCTCATCATACGGTGCCCGTCTCTCCCCAGTGTCCTCAGGAGATCGGTCTGCCAACCCTGCCACCCACGGTGCTTCAGGACGCAGCGGTCTCTGGCGAGTGCTTCTCTCAGTCACCGACCGGAAACATAGCGGTACTAAGAGGCTCATTACCTCTATGGAGGTCTCTAGAGCAGCTAGTTCGGCCGTCCCCTGCCAGTTCGCCGCTTCGCCGCTTCAGGGCACCGAACTAGCCGCTCTGATTACTCCAGAGGTCAGTCTCGAGAGACTGATTCCCTTAGTAGACTATTTGGCAGCGTGGAAACTACTGCCAAATGTTTCTCGGTGGGTCCTGCACACTTTAGAGAGAAGCTACAGAATCCAGTTTGGTTCTCCTCCGCCTCAGTTCAACGCGGTGATTCCCACTCTGGTGGGCCCCGAGCAAGCTCTGGTAATGGAACAAAAAGTGAACACTCTCTTGAAGAAGGAGGCCATCGAGGTGGTCCCTCCTCACGAAAGAGAATCCGGGTTCTACAACTGGTACTTCATCGTTCCGAAGAAGGATGGAGGGTTCTGCGTCAGTTGAACCGCTCAGTCATGCGACTGAAGTTCAGGATGCTCACTATGAAGCAAGTCGTGTCTCAGATCAGGTCCGAGGACTGGTTTGTCACGATCGATCTAAAGGACGCATACCTCCATGTATCCATTCTTCCCACTCACAGGAAGTTCCTGAGGTTTGCTTTCGGGGGCAAAGCGTACCAATATCG